GCAGAGACTGCTAGGATCAACTTATAAAACAACTCAGCCATCATGTAAAACGATAGGCTTTAATAAGTTGAAGAGAGATGTGTTATATACACACCACATGCTGCAAAATAACTAATGCAAGGAGTTGTAAAACTTTATTTTCCATTTCTTATTGCAGATGAATTATCTGGAAGTATGTTAATGTTAATAAACACTGAGAAGTCTATCAGGGCAACTGTGGCTGTTTCAGTGCTGACACTTAATTGAAACCGAGCAGTTTATTACTATAGTCTTCTTGAAGTTTCTTCAAAAAAGTCATATACTTTGTTCAGAACAGATGAGGCTGCTAGCTCTTGCAAAGAGGCTTTCATCATTCTGAATACTCAGCTAGTGAATCCTTTAATCCAGGAGTCCCCAACCCCTGTATGTGGCCCAGTACCGGTCCACAGCATGCCAGCAGCCAGTCTGCACAAACAAGCAAAGCCCCATCCGTGAGATGCAGGCAACACACAAAACCACGCACTCTCTGGTCCGTGGAAAAAACCTCTCTCCACGGAACTGGTCCCTGGTGCCCAAAAGGTTGGAGATCCCTGCTTTAATCTACTGGTGCCTGCTGACACACATATTAGTATGTGCATTACAAATAAAGATGTTGAAGTTGGTTTGAAACCTATTCTTTTCTCTATAAAGGTGACAATTCAACAGTCACTATAGTTGTAATTTTCAGATGTTGAAAATAGTGCAAGAAAAGTTAACTCCCATTCTTTGACATGCTGAAGCTAGCTTGCTCCTTTATCAACAACATTCTTCATAAAATAGGAACATTATTATGTTTCCTTCTTGTGTCTCTAATTAGAGAAGACAAAATAAATCACCACAACAATCACATTTTACTATTAGTGTAGCATCATATATGAAGTGTATACTAGAGATAATAAGAAATCAAAGCTTCACAATTGTGGAGTGCTACTGCAGCCTATCTTTTTTTAAGATGCAGTACCCTCTACTGAAATCTTACTTTTAGACACAGAATCTATTACACACATACCAGAGCAAAAGTGAGGGCTTCAGTAAATCCTGCTGCTGCCAAATCTTGCCTCAGAAGTTCTGTGAGTTTATTGAGTGGAAACTGGAAGAGAAAATAAAAATTCTTTTGGCTCAATGAATATCACAAATTTATGGAAATCACTGTTAGTTTACCCTTTTTCAAAAAGAAAAGAACAGAATAACACCAAACAGTTACATCTGGTTTCTGCAGAGGAAATGCAGTTCCCAATTAGAGATTGAATATATGGCCCCCAGGTTTAAACCTTGCCTTTCTGGAAGCCCATCCATTGCAGGTCTTTTGAATTTCTCAGATCAGTTAGGCATCTGTTTTGTATCCTTGCTATAGTAAACTCCCCTTGCTTCAAGACAGGACAGAAAATGTTTTAATTCTTAGACACAGTTTTCTTCTACAAACTCTTCTGGCATACCTCTAGCCTTTTAATTGCCAATACAGACTGTTTACTTTAAGGGTGCAATCTTACTTGATTAGCTATGGTGTACGTTTTTGGAATAGTCATCTGAATGTTATTATAGCCATACGCTATTGCTGCATCTTCTATGATATCACATGCATGGATAATATCAGCTCTCGTAGGTGGGATTTCAACCTCTATATTGTTCCCATTCCCTATGACGTGCGACTTCAAACACATTCTAGTAAGCAGCTTTGCTAGGCTTGATGGTGTCTCACTAAAACAAAACACAAAAGTGATTTTTAAAGAATGCTTTGAAAAAATTATGTACTTTCATTAGTAACTTTCAAGCAGTATAATCCAACATAGCTAGGTACCCTCATAAATCAAGCCTGGATATGAAATAAATGTTATTAGAGATATAATACAAATCCTGATGAAGCTGAGCAAGGAATATGTTTGTTAGATGTTTTAATTAAAAATATACTGTCCTATTACCTTCAAACCTTGGCATTTTCAGTGTATACAAAGTGGTCTCCACTTCCCAATCAAGTTAACATTTACAGTATAGTTATACCTTAAATATAGAGCTAATAGAAAATCACCAACAGATGCATAAATGATTTGGTTTTTCTATTAATCCAAACTATGTAAATATGTCCTAGAAGTTGAGTTTTTAAAAGTAATTGTTTTTTTAAAAGAAGATAGAAAATAATACAATAGAAGATAATATAGATTCAACCCAGAAAAAAGAGAGAATAGAAAGTGCAAGAGACAAAAAGAAAAAAGGAGGGGAAATAAGAGAAAAGAAATATTTAAAGAAGTCATCTCCACTATTCATCCTAACAAATACAAACTTAGTGATTTTTCATTGTCTATAAGATTACATTTCAGTATCTCTTCTTTTCACAACCCATCCTTATCCATATGCAAATCAATAAATCATTAATATTTTAGTCCTACTGCTAACAAAAAGTACATAAAGGATTCCCAGAGTTTTATAGAAGCAGATCTTATTTTAATTTTGATCAACAAACTTGCTTTGTACTCCTTCCTTTTGTTTCTAACAATCTTGATTTTTCATTTATTCAGATGTTTCATAGGATTTATATCTCTTCACTTATTCTTTATGGATCTGAAAGAGTTCTTTGAGGCTTTAGCACTCTCTTTTGTAAATGACAGATTGCATGACTGTAAGGAGTCATTATCCAGATCACACTCTTGGGTTATTTCTACTTTAACTGCTATCTGCATCTTAAAATCGACATTTTTTTAAATTTTCCAGAATTTTACCAATTTCTTTATATTCTAATATTTCTGCATCATATGAGGTTTGTTTTAGCTCTTCATCCTGTAGATCTTCCAAGGTATTCTCTTTTACATCTTAAAGATAATACCCTTTGGGAAGCCGTCGAGAAAAAAATTCTTTTCAACTTACAAGTTCAAATTGAAAATTTAAATAAAAAGTTTGATAAAATAACAACAGTTCTAAATTAACCCAAAGATGATACTCAATAACATCTAAACAGATTCACAATAGGACAGATTGGAATTTAATGTGTTGCTGGTGGATTTGAAGGACAAGATGTTTGCCTTGAAAACTGCAGGCTTGTTGGAAAAGGTTGAAAGGGGCATAGATTTTAAAGACTTAGAGTTGACAGAACTAATGAGTGATGAAGTGGACTTTCTTAGGAAGACAGAAAGAGATTTGGGAATGGAATGGACTTATTATGTCCAACTGGAAAAGGTTTTTTTGAACAACAAATGCTGTAGAGATATCTACAACAGAGACTTATAATTTTAAGGAATGAGATCCAGGGAAAGATCCCGGTTAAAATTAAAATTTTATTATTAAGAATCAAATGAGGATATTTGATTCTAGATCAGTGGTTCTCAACCTGTGGGTCGGGACCCCATTTGGGGTCAAACGACCATTTCACAGGGGTCGCCAAACAACACAGTCCCCCATTTCCCCCCCTTTTCCTTAGCTGTGCTACTTCCTTTTATTCTATTGGCTTCTGAAAGCCAATAGAATACTCTCTTGAATAGAGTCTAATTCTATTGGCTTTCAAAAGCCAATAGGAATTGTCCAGGCTGTCTCTGCCCTGCTGAGCCTGCCAAAAGTCCCATTCTGCAAACAATGCTGCACCAGTTGAGTAGTCCTCGACTTACGACCGGTTGAGTAGTCCTCGACTTACAACCGGTTGGGGGTCGCGGCATTAAAAAGGTTGAGAACCACTGTTCTAGATGGACCAGAAATAACAATTGTGGTGTCCTAAAGATGTTTTTTCATGAGTCAACTGGACTTCCATGTTTATCTTTGAAGACGTTTAAATGCAGATAGAAAGGACAAAGGCCACTCTTTCGAAGATAGCAAAGTCCACATTTTGGACAGAGAAGAGCACTGGTTTGAAAGATGGGTCAGAGGACGTCTATGTTAAAACTGAACAGCCCTTTCTCAACAGAGGGGGAGGGATCCGACATCATCTATCTTCAGTCTACAACACAATCCTTTCAACAGTTCCAGGAAGGCTCCACACCCATTTGCATTACTCAGGTGATCCTGAAGACACAGATTAGCCTCCTAGTAGCTTTAACGACTTGCTAAAAGAATGCAAATGAACCGCTGTCTGCAGGAGTATAAATCTTTCCATTCCCCACCATCCAGTCATAGCTGAAGAAGCTTCTTGGATAAGAAGTGAAACGTCTTCAAAGAAAAACAAGAAAGTCCAGTTGCCTCTTTGGGATAACTATGACCTGGATAACTGAGAATCTCCATAGACAACAATTGTAGTGGTTTACGATAGATTAGAAGCCACTGTTGACTTTCTGTGATATACAATAATATATTGCTAACAGAGGGCTTTGAAGTTTTTATATATATATTAGACAGATGTCAGGTCAAATTAGTTGGGTTGCAAGTGAGGAAACTATTATATTTGAAATATATTTATCAGTATTCAACTAGGCAGGACAATCTATGTGAATGTGTCCCCCCCCTTATTTTTTTCCTACATTCTTTTTTTTTAATGTCTTGTTTAGTTTTGCTCTGTTCTTGTATTTTTTTCTTTTTTTGAGTTTATATTTTAATAGTGAATAAAATAAAAATTTTACTGCAAAAAAAGGTTCTTTTAAAAGCATATCAAGTGGAACAACTGGTTGTCTTAGTCCTTAAAATCTTCTTGATAAAATTTATTCTTTAAATCATATGGTATACCCCTTTAGGAATTTAGTTGACTTCATTCAAAATTTGTCAAAAATTCCCGCAAAGATTCTCTATGAACGAAGTCAATCTATAACTATTTTAATATTTACAAAAAAGAGGGTAGACCAATCTGGTTAATTTACAATAAATTAGCTTGTTAAATATTAACAATAAATTCTCTCTGCCAAATTCCTTTATAATAAATGTGTTGACTAAATGATCCAAGTGAATATGCTTGCTAAGGAGCAAGACAGCTTTAAATCAGATCAATCAACTTTTGAGCAATGTAACATTTTAAATCTTCTGGCAGGAAAATACTCCAGCTGCCAAAGAAGAATTCTCTAGGCAATTATTCATTCCATCCCTAAAGAGAGTTTATGGAAGAAACTGGCAGCCACATATATAGATCACTTTGGCTGACGGTGATTTATGATTTATTAAATATTTATAATGCTTTATTTATTTCTATTCCACTCAATTCCCAAAGGGTCCAAGCATCTTAGAATAAACCAAAGTACATAAGATTAAAGCCAGGAAAAAAGGAAAACTATCACCAATCCTTGGAACAACCTAAGTGCTGTGTATAGAATAGAATAGCATTCAGATAAATTTTCTCCAAATGTTCTGTTGAAAAACTATCTTTTAATAGCTCTTTGAATGCACATTAAGGAGAGGAGGTATAAGAAATTAAAATGCTTGTTTGAAAGGCTTCCAATCTATACTGAACTCCATTAGTTTTTAATGATTATTCTGACACTGTAGCCATTAAATTGTTTCAATTCAAGATGCTAAAGCTTTTGCTGTATAGTGCACAACTTTTCATCTACAAAGAAATACTAGTTTTATAAGCAATTTTATAAGCAATCTATACCATGTGGATTTTATTAATGAAGATATATTTCTATAAGGTTCACATAAGAATTAGTTGCTTGAAATGCTACTACAACTACTTCGGGGGATGAATGCTTGGTCCAGTTTATCTTCATTGAGAAGTTAGACCTGGACTACAGAATGAAGATTTAATTATGTTAAGGAGCCATTGATAGTATACTTTCTTTCCATTTTACATACAGGATGATAGTGTACTTTCTTTCCATTTTACATACAGGAGGATTTACATTAATGAATTTAACATCTAATTCTCAGAGGTATTGGAACTCAGTAACATTCCATACCCAGGTCTTTCTGTCCATGGTTAGATGAAGCCATTGAGACAGTTTTGCAATCTTGCTGAGATTTCAATTGTCTCATATTTGGCACTGAGTTAATATTTTCCTCTGCTTCATTTAATTGGCCTGAAATATAGATTAAACACTTTCTAGCAACAGATTAATCTATCAAAACTCCTATGAAGGTTTTCAGATTATGCTCAGTTATGACTGCTGCCAGAAAATGCTGGGTTTGAATGTTTAAGCCGCAATGATTTATGTTTATGTTTTCTTTTGATCTCTGACTATAAATTCAATCGATCAGTAAATAAATATGTGATAAAGATAAAGAATAGGTTTACTGGATTAGATCTGATAAACAGAGAACCTGAAAAACTCTGTACTTAAATCTGTGTTACTGTCAAAAATGAGGCAAACATATATATTCCAAAATAAAAAAAGCAAACAAAGGTTAAAAAAAAAGCCATGTTGTAAATGAAAACAGCTGATTAAAAAAAAGACAGAAGAAAACATTGCCAAAGAATTTCAACAAGAAATCACTATTAGAGCACTACTTTGATGTATGCTTTACTTCCAGCACATTTTATCATATTCAGCCTATCCAACAACTAACCTTTATAATATACATTTAAAACTATTCCGTAATTCAGGCCTATTCATTTTATCACATTCTAGTGCAGGGGTAGGCAACCTTGGCTCTTTTCTAACTCGTGGACTTCAACTCCCAGAATTCCTGAGCCAGTTCCGGGAGTTGAAGTCCACGAGTCAGAAAAGAGCCAAGGTTGCCTACCCCTGTTCTAGTGAATGGACAGGTTGGAAAGCCTTGCCTACACTCCCTCGCAGCAACTAGTTCCAACAGACTAAGAATGAGGCCTGGTCTTTATCACATAAAAAGTGAAATCTCACATCTCTCCCTCTTTAAAAGGAAGAGACTTTGTGCTTTTACAAGACAGCAAGCAGATCTCCAGAGGATGGGAGAAGATCAAGAAGCTGTGTGCCAGGAAGGGGAGAAAACTGAGATCATTCTCTTTTAACTCCAAATTGAACTTTGGAACTTCCAGAAAAACAAAAAAGCACATCTAGGGAAATTGAAATCAGAAGGAAAATCTGATTAAAGACTGTAATTTGGCAAAAACTAGACAATTATCTAATTGGAATGGCACCAGATTTAATTTTTGTTTGTGTGCTATCGTTTTTATATCTCTGCACAATTTAAGGGCCCTGCCATCCTTGTTAATTTGAACTAAACTCTCAAATATCCTGGGCTAATGAACCCTTAAAAGCCTATTAGCTCTTACTAGCAAAAGATTTGTGACAACTTGTGGTCTGCTACAATTCTTATATTTACATTTATACGTTTACATTAATACGTTTATATATTCTAACAAAATTCCTTTTCTTGTTAACCTATCTTCTCATTTATTTTGACAGAGAACTCATACTTTCTCTTTCATATTTTCTCTTCAGTAATTGTTCTATTTTTACTTTCAAAAGTTTCACTTTTTCTTCCCTTTCAACCATTTTTTCCCCTTCAGGATTCCCTCTTGGCATTAAAAGAAAATAGTTTTTCCTATGCTAGATTTTATATACACCTTTTATCTCTCACTAATCCTCTTTATATTGTATTAGAAATAATCAAACCAATCATGCATTTAAATTTAAATTCTTTCCCTTGCCATGTGTACAAATGAATAAAATGTTTAAATTCAAAATGGATCTTTTCTAAATAAATACTCACCAAGTGTCCCAACATTCATTTAGATCTCTTGTTTCAGTCACACATAGTCATTCATGTCATCTAATTTAATCACTTTGTTCCTAGAATCACATCCTTTCAGAATATTGTGCAATTTTTCTCAAAAGCCTGGTTCTTTCCTTTTCACCATTTAGTGGAGTATAACATACAACTATCATTAACCAATCAGTTTCCAAGTTTATATACTACTCACAATACTCCTAGATGCCAATTAATGCTTTCTGGGATATGCTACCATTCTATTCATGCTTAAACTTATATTTTTGATTGCATTAAAGTATCTGTCAACTGAATTCTATAAAATCAGACAATCTATATATATATTTTTTGCTCACATTCTCAGATACACAATGTATCAATCTTTTTTCATTTCATTCATGCTGTTTACCATTTATCTGCCTTACAGTTCTAGCTGCAATCTTCTATACGCCGAGATCATTGCCAGATGGGCCTCACTGATGGGCCTCTGCAATCCATCAAGCTTTTGGCAAGCCAGCTTCATCAGAAATTTTTTTTAATAGATAAGTTATAGATTAGGTCACAAACCTAAATTGTACCTATGCCATAAGCAGCATTCTCTGCTCATGGTAAGAAAAATACCGAACAGTTCAGTTTGATCAGTATGCCACATGCACAACCAAAGCCAGTTATACCCTAAGCATGCTCACAGTATTCTATTCAAGCTAGGATCTCAAATCTAAAGACTACTTTACAAGCTAACATGCTAAGTTGTGATTTAATAGTATTACAGTTTGTAGAAAAAATCAAGAAATCTGGTTAAATAATATACTTTTAATGAATTATGACCAGTCTTGTCTTCTCTTATAAAAATGACCACTGGTTAGAACCAATCACACAAAAATCTTATCACAGTTGCTGTAAATAGCATTCTATGTGCATTTTTTGAAGAAAAAGAACATACCTAATTCCTATCTTCTTATTAATTATTTCAGGTTTTATTTTTTCACGACGGTAGGACAGCTCCTAAAAAAGATGTTAACACGAGTCATTTCTCTAATATCACAGACTTGCTTCCATAATAAACAGTCTGAAGTTTTCAACAAGGTATTGATAATCAGAGTTTTACTATTTTAAAATATTAGTATCAGTTATTAATCATTATTAAACAATGTAATCAATCTTCCTGACTAAACATATGCTAGCAATACTTTTCATAACCATCCATCATATGAACAACATTTAGCACAATATTAGCATCAGATATGCATAAAATAAATAGTTATACATGAATATGAACTACCCCAGGATTTAAAAGCTTCTCCAGTATGCATTGCCAGGCAGAGATTGGAGTGGTACCCGAGTTACTCATGCTCTGGAATACTGAAAATATGTGCAGCCTCTATTTTGTTGGTATATTATATGTTATATATTTTGCATTAGCTAAGAATTATATTTTTCTTTCAATATATGACAAGATCCATAGTGTTCTGTTTTTCCACTCTGTCTTTTTTTCAGGAAGGTCTTCTTCTCCAAAAGATGAGAAGAATATCTCTGTTAGAGGTTCTCTGAGATGGAAAAATGTTTGCTTCCTTATATATAACTAGAACATAAGAAATCTGAGATTTCAACTAAGCTTTGGATTGTAATTATTTAACATCATATAGATAAAAAAACTCTTACAGAATGTATACATAGATTAGACATAAGCAAACCTTTTGAACCTTTGAAAACATAAATATTACCAGTATATGCTAGATGCATTTATAAAATGGCATGTAGTAGGAAATGTAGCTCTTCATTAAATGACTTCTAGTGGGTGGGAAAGATATCAAAACAATAGATATCAACAAAAATTTTCAAATTGAAAATATTTGGAATTTGAAATAAACTGAAAGGAGAGAATAAAGACAAATATCCAGAATTACTTTCAGAAGACAAAATACCTGAAAAAAAATTACATACACTGACTTTCCTTTCCAAAAGTCTTAACTCCCATTAAAATGTTCCAGTTCTTAAATATATAAAAATTCCTATCTTAGGTTTTATAATACTCACTGGAAAGATGTAGCTTTTTCCATTAGGATAAGTTACTTCTACTGTTTCAGCCCTTAAAGAGAGTAAAAACACACAACTAAAGCACAGGCTACAACACACATGCATACACTTATAAAAGGAAAAGTCAGACTAACTCACGTGAATGGCTTATTGCAATATTCACTAAACATTGTAACCAGGATATCGAGTACAATTTTTGCCTGAAAGACAGAAAGCATACCTATTTCTTAAAGTATTTAATTATTAAATACTATCATATAAGTAATTTTATTAAATTAATGAATGTTTTAAATATAAAATTACAATATAAGTTCATAAGAAATCTTTAAAAACTTTACTAGTTTTCCAAAAATGTCATGAAAAGCCAGGTAACTAAATTACTAACTAAACCAATTAACAAATGAAATGTGTGCACGTCTATGAAGCTGACAAAAGATCCAAACTCTGAGCAGTTCATTACATTATATACATTTATATCCACTTTAAGTTCTAGAGACATAAAACAACCCCAACAATTGATTGCTATGATCCAATATTTTGAAATCCTTTTATAAAGCATCAAACTTACTCCTTATATTCACTTTGAAGCAAGTCACATTTCTAAAAACAAATACTTATCAGCAGTTAAGGTCAGTTTCAAAGGGACATATTATTTTATTTGTAGATCAAGATTAACTTTGCTCAACACTTCGCTGGTCAAGGGTATTTACCTTGGTAAGATCTGTGGCTGTACACTCAATAAGTACATTTCTAGTGTTGAGGCTTATTTTTGAATGTTCTCCTAAAAAACAGAAATATACTGGAATTGAAGATGCATCTTTTTCATGTTCTTGAATTTAAAAGACTGAGTTTTGTAAATCTTTCTACTGAATATTGGACTTAGAGCTATAGTACTAGAAAACCTAACAACCAGGACAATAAATATGCATGCTGAGATCTAAGTGATTTTTCTTTAAATGAACAAGAGCTTACAGGTCCCATAGATTATTGTTTTTCCTTGTTTATAGCTGTTCATAGTTTTGTACCAGGATATTTAAGAATTTTTCCACGGGGTAGTTTCTTAAGAAGAGACTTTGAAATCCAGACGTGTAAATATTACATAAATTATTTTGAGGACCAGGCCCTGCAGCTGAAATTATTTGTTAGGGTAGAATGTAGTCAGTGGAAGGTTCTGTATTTGCTATAATTTTATAGTAAGATTATGGTATTAACTGTCATTACAGCATGCATAAATATCATGGCTTTCCTAAGAAATTGATGTCATTTGAACTGCAATAAATGGCAAAAGTTATTCTTTGAAAAATGAAGCAATACTACCTGTAGCTAAAGACAACATTGGTGCATCTATGGATAGATTATATTTCTTTGAAACGTTGCAGTATTTATTTAAAAAACATGCAGATATATATTAAGGGTAATCCCAAAAATATGATTAAATTATGCTGCATTGTATTTTCTTAAGGAGCTGAAATTACAAAGACTACTGTTTGTCATAAGTTCTATAAATGTTTTCGCAGACCAGAATCCCCAGTTCCTATGTCACAAGAAAAAAAACTATGACTTACTGCTGTCCAGAATTCATTAACTATGTTGCTTCATAACAGGAATGAATGACTGCAATTTGAACAATGTGCAGTAGTAGTTTCACTTCCTCCTCTGTAAGCAAGAATTCTGAAATTCTGGCTTCCTATGAAGTACAAATGCACTTCCCACGAGGGTTCACTAGGAGCCTCAATCTGTACCCATAACAGATTTTCTGTTTTCTTACCTGGGAGCTTTTCCCAAATGTGTTCCAGATATACAGTACATGGGAAGGATGCAGACAGAAGAGGGATCCAATCTGCTACTAGCATCTAGTCTGCTGAGTAGATTATACCTAAGTGTATATATGAGAACCTTGGTGCTCTCTGAATTTGCTTTTTTTCTTGCAGACGTTTCATTATCCAAACTAGGTAACATCATCAAGTCTGCAAGAAACAAGCAAGCTCAGAGAGCACCAAGGATCCCTCATGTCCATCCTGAACTACAAATATTCACCTTTATTAGTACATATGAGAACTTCAGCTAATTTAAAATTTTAAAAAAGTTTATATTCCATTTCTGTTAAAGAGTTGAAACAATCAGACCTTGCGAATATTATTCAAAAAGCATAAAGTTCTTAGAAACATAAAAAAAATCTTATATTGAGGAGTATGTCCTGAAATAAACAGAACAAATTTCAGACTATAACAGTGTGCCATTTCCTATTTCTCTCATATAGTGAGGTTAAAACAAATGCTGTTAAGAAAAATCTTACCATTAATTATTGGTGGCATTGAGAGAACAACACCATTGTTATCATAGATAACTGGATAAAGTGATTCATTTTCAATAATATGTAGATAGTGTCTAAGATGATTATCCATCTAAAACAAACAAAAGTTAAATTAATGTTTATATCTTTCCTCAGAAACCATTGCACAGTATCATCTGATAATATCTCTATAACATACATTAATTCCTAGAAGCAATGCAAACTGTACATGTTATATATGAACAATTTGTTCATAGGAAAATATCACTATATACTAGGAAGGTGATCAGCAATTCACTTATTTCTTAGTATATTCCTTATGGCACATTCCTTATTCAAAAGTCTATGAGCAGATATAAAACTAAACATAAAACTATTTGTAAAAACTCAATCGGTTTTCAGTTTATTGTTAATCTATATAAAACAAGAAGGAGTTTGAATGTTGACAAATTCATAACAGTATGTAGTACCCACTACACTGTGAACATAGTACAATAATTTCACAATATCACCAGAAGATAAATTTCTAATGTTATCCATTCTGGGAGAAAAACATTAAATGCAGATTTTGTCTTACTGGACACAAGATTTCAGGCCAATGCCCCAAATTGTTGGGAAAATGGAACCATTAAAGCAAATTTGGCAGGGAAAGTATAGAGAAATACATGAAGGATTATTTATTTGAGTACTACTTTTGCTTTAAACCTATAATCTTATTTTTGCTCCCATCTTTTGTTTTTCTATCTTTTTGTTCACTCAGGTCAATGACTGCTAGCTTTGGTATGCACATATCAGACTCATGTATTTTGATTCAACATCCATTTTATAAAGAGTTTCCTTTTTTGTCTTTCTTTTTTTTCTTTGTTGGGAGTAGCTCCATGTACTTAAAAATCACTGAAATCTAATAACATTTATCAAAGGAGGGAAAAATAGAGACATTCAAAGTTTATTCTTGGAGAATAATTCTGTAGATTCCAAGAATTTTCCTATTCAAAAACAAATGGTGCCAATGTAGCTACTTGTCTGAGCAGAATTTTTTCTTCTGGAGCAACAGCCATCCCCAGACATTTCAGAATGATCACAATAGGGGGCATCTGGGCACAACCCCGGGAAGCTCATGTTGATGCCAGACTCCTTTATAAATAGAATATATTTATATATTGCCTTTTAAATCCAAGCTTAGGCAGGAGGTTGGACTAGAAGATCTCCAAGATCCCCTCCAATTCTATGATTCTATGAAGCATAAGATATGTGAAGACCAATCAATGGTCTCTAATCCAAGCATCAATGTAAGCAACAGCTACTTAGCTTTAGCAAGATTGTTATACCAAAGGCTTTCAGATAAAACTATTCTGTAATGTCTCTAAGCCACAAAGTGGGTCTTCAAGCAGAGTTCTATGCTATGACATCTAAATAAACAAATCATAGTTAGGGCAAACATTCTACTTCAAGGAGCAGCAGTACTATGAGGTCAGAAATGAATTTACAAAAAGATAAAACCTATATTAGCAATGCTCAAAGGTTTACTGGACTACTGCATGATCTAAGGTTTTTCTACTATGGGCCAAGTGTTTTAGAACATTCCTAACATTCCTAGTTATAAAAGCTGGATGTTAGTTCAGTGCAGTATATAAGGCTGGTTACCGTTTTCCCAAATCCATGAGTTCATTAGGAACCTCAGTTACTTTGTATTGTGTACGTTTATTTTTTTCCAGTTTATAGACATTTCAGTTCTTGTTTATACTTTCATGTGATGCTGTTTGTATTTATATATTGTATTCACCCAAGGTCATTATGCTGAGATAGGTAGCCAAATAAATTGTACCAAATCATAAATAAATGGAAATATATCTTGTTGTTTTAAAGTAACCTACCCTGTACATTTCCATGATTTCAGGAGCACTGTATTCTTTATCTTGATTCAATGGTTTGAATTTAATTTCAGCTGGTGGTTTAGCTGTATAAATAAATGGGCCAGAGATTGTATCTAGATCATGGGTACCAATTGCAACTAACGATCGCTTCCTAAAAAGAAAACAAAATGAATTAACATTTCTTCTATCTACTAAATATCAATTACACGGGGTACTGATAAAATAGGGATAAAATGACAGTTGTTATATTCTTGTGTAATAAATATTATTCATAAATAATACACATTGAATATTGCACTGTAACCTGCATATGAAAAATGAATACATGCATATTATATGCAGAAGTTTCCTTCCCTTTTTACATACAACTGATTTTTAAAATACCACATAAAAACAGAGTTCTTCAGCATTTTCAGGTTAAACACATTCTAATTCAAGATGCTGTAAAATATTTCACAAATATTTTTAATATTTCACTAAAAATAAATTTCAGAATACAACTAACCTGCATATATTTTGATGCAATTTTTCCTGTAGATCAATGAAACTATCATAACGGTCTTTGACAAAAGTTATATTACGAAGAACTGCAGCTACTGCATAAGGACGGATTTGGGCAGTCTGCCATAAAATGGATACAATTATTAGCAAAAGACAGTATGAATGAAAATATTATATGCTCCATAAAGCAATCCATTATTTAATAAAATTAAGCCTTCATCTTAAACCAAAACATTTAAAATAACTAATCCTGGATATTTTAAAAATAAGTATTTTTTAAATGTCTGTGTTCAAAGGAAAGGAACAGCAGTACAATTAATCAATATAACAGCAATTTTATGTTTACTGACTCTTAGCTAATCTCTACAAAAATTGACTTAAATTTGAAAAACATTTATTTACAATGTATGCATCAAGATGAGGATTCAGCTTTACTTACCTCTTCACTAATGGTAAGTCTTTGAATTGCACCATTGGGTGGTGTGATTTTTTTGTATCGTGGAGCCCTTATTCTAAAATAATAAGATTTTAATGTTAAAGATCCGTTTTGGAGGCATAAAAAAGCAGGCTCCACCTTAATGTTCTCCCCTCATCCAACTGATATCCAGTTAGCACACAGAAACAAACAAATACTTCCAGCATGATTCGAAAAGCTGTTTTGAGCTAAAAAAAATTAAAAATTTGAAATATTTTGCCTATCACTAGTAGATAATTTTTTCTGCCATTATCAGATTTCTAATCATACATAAAGGATTGGATGTGTCTTAAATATTTTAAATGCTATTAAATATCTTTCTGAACAACAATACGGAAATAATTTGTCATATCTTTTCAGAATTTTTTTTCAATTTCTTACTTATCTAAAAAAAAATAAATGTTTATAATTTCACATATTGTTTAAACCACAGGCAAATATAAATTACATGTACCTAAAGCAGTTCAAGCAATCTGAATTTCTAGTTATTTCTGAATCTATCCTTTACTCGCATTTAGACTTACTGTATATGTCGCTTCACAGTGCTTTACAGCCCTCTCTAAGAGGTTTACAGAGTACGCATATGGCCCCCAACAATCTGGGCCCTCATTTTACCAATCTTGGAAGGATACAGATAGACCTTGAGTTACAACAGCAATTGGGGCCAAGATTACCATCATTAAGCAATACGATTGTAGCGTACGATTTCACATGACCACATCACTTAGTAATGAAAATCCCAGCAATGTGGGCTCCCATCATAACCTTAAGATGGGCAAGTTGTTAATCGGAAAGTAATAGCAGTCCAAGGTAAGAAGGTGTGGCACACAAAAAGAGGCCCTGGGATCACCGGTGCAGGCTGCATATGAGTTGGGGGAAGGCCTGCTGTAGGCCATGTGCAAATGGAGGAAAGCCTGGAGGTGGATGGCACACTGCATTGTACCATAGAAAGGCTACTGGAGTGGATGGCATGGCGGGCAAAAGCACCGGAAGGCTGGAGTGGGTCGATGGCATGGCACTGCATGGCACAAATACAGGAAAGCCAGAGAGATTTATCAGTGTGACTTATAACCTTTTCTGCAAGCTTCCCCATTAACTTTGCTTGTGGAAAGCCAAAAGGGAAAGCTGCAAATGGCAGTCATGTGACTGTGGAACACTACAACTGTAGTAAGGGCAAACCAGTTTCCAAGCAACCAAATCACGATCATGAAATCGGGGGCATGGTATGAACTGGAATATCAAGGATCAATTGTAAGTACCACTTGTTCAGTGCCGTTGCAACTTCAAACGGTTGCTGAACAAGGTTGTTGCTAAAGCACAAGCACATAAAAATTATTCAGCACTTGACATTTTCGTCTGACTGCTTACTTATAAGCCTAATACAGCATTTAATAATAGTCTCAAATGTTGTCAAGTATTACCTTTCTTTAAAAATCTGAAGACCTCTGACTAGGCCTTCCAAACAAAGGAGATCATATCGATTAGCAGGAACATCAATTTTATACAGAATGGTTTCTGATGCACCCTCTGCTTTTCCATCACCTTTTTCTTTGCTTATTATGTCCTTCTCAAAGGTCTAAAATAAAATATAGATATATAAAGCATACAAACAAAAACTTATGAGCAGACATCAATGTCAAGCAACATGAGCCTTTTACAATATTTTAACTCCTCCTATACAGCTTTACCAATGTTGCTTTTGAGTGCTTCGAAAACCTTTTGAGAGGATGTGAGTTCATGGAAGCTTGCAGATGGAAAAGAGAAACTACCTAAATGGCTTGTTTGAAATAGTGAAGGCAGTAAAAATAGACTACAGGTAGTTCTCAATTTATGACTGGTCACTCAGAAACCATGCAAAGTTATGACAGATTATCCAAAAGCTATTTATGATCTGGTTTCAAAGTTATGGCAGCTGAAGCACCCTTGCAGTCATTAGCCCTTATGACAAACCACAGGGTTGCTGCAGTGCTCAACACAATACTGCGTCTCTGCAGCCACTCATCCACCCAAGGAGATTAGGCCAGCTCTGGTGGGAGCAAATCAGCTGGAGTTTGCAAGCCTCCAACTTCCTTCCTACCCAGCAAACAAAGGGAGACCGAGCTGGCTGCACCTTTCAAGCTCCAGTTGTCTTCCCATCCAGCAAGCAAGGGGAGATCAGGCTGGCCAAAGCCTGCAAATATCCAGCTTCCTTCCCTCCAAAGGACTTGCAGTACTCAAATCTATTCCAGAGACCAGCAACATCCAATTTACTTTTCTGTTTTTTGCAGCTTCTAAGAGAGGCACCTAGCCTGATAAAGGATTAGAGCTACCCTCCTGGCAAAACAGATCTTTTTCTCATGAACCTGTAGGGGGCTCAATTTTAGGGAGACTTCATAAACTCTGCAAACAAATGGAACCTCCTTAAAAAAATGGAGTCTCCTTTTTTTAAAAAAAAAAACCTTTGCGGTGTCACAAAAATAGAATAGAAACCTACCTCATAGGGTTGTTCTTGTTGGGATAATAGGAGGAAGGAATATTATGTATATCCACTGCCTTGAGTTACTGATAAAATAATAATAAAAATCTAATCTAAACAGAACCTTGAGGTACCCCACTGCTTGTTTCCCTCCATGTAGATATAGCTCCATTGAGGACTACATGCTGAATGCAGTTGGTCCACAGTATTTCCCTGATCTACTAATTTAATCACTTTATAAAAGTTTATCTGGCATGGGTATGTTGTCTTAACATGCCCATGCTGGCTTCCAGTAATCACCTTGTTTATTTCTAGATGCTCAACATATTATTGAAAAAGAAGGAAGTATTAGCATAATTAGAACCACTGTTTTCATTGTTAAGTAAGGGTTTTTTTTACAAAACAGAATCCTGAAGAATTAGGGGGAAATGCTTTATATGACTCTTGCATTACACTACATGTATCACATCTACTGTGAGTCTGCAATTAATATAACAGTAAAAATACTTACAATTTCATCAAGTTCCAAACCAAATTCAAAACACAGTTCATCGAATTCTTCATCAGCTGCAAAAAATATTGTTTTTAAGATTGGTTATCAATTAAAGTGGAATTAATGCATCTTTTAGAAAAAGATAACTGATTTCATCTTAATATTTGGTTAAATGTCATTCAGAAGGACTTCAGAGGTGGCACAAAGCAATAGGAAATGATGCAATTTTGATAAGCAGCCAATGTAATATCCTTCCATTTTCATAGCTATCATGGATCAATAATCTGTATTAATCAATAAGTAAGGCTGTTTATGTTTGGCTTCCTGCTGGAAAATACCCCCCCCCTTCTCCTCCCATTACTTTTTTGTCACTTAATCTCTCTCCACCCTGGTACCGGCTGAATGTGCAGGGTACACAACTGCCAAGACCACAATGGACTTGGTCGAAAGCAGTGGGAGCTGTAGTCCAATATATTTGGTAAGTACCAAATCAGGGCAGAATAATGTACCTTTTCGCCCCTGAGTTCAGAGAACTTTATGAAGGCTCCTTTATGCTTTAAATCTACCAAGGTGTCCTTTTCTTACCCATAACTGAACTGCCCCATATCTAGTGCAAAATATCAGTCGCAACGGCCTCTTTCCCCACCTCTTCTGACCAAAAGACACGCTCACTACAAGCCCCCAATCTTTTCCTTACTGTAACTTTTTCCCAAGGCTTGAAAAAGCAGATCTCGGTTCACGCCGACGGTCGGCATGGCTCACTAGCAGTTCCTGCCAATTACTTTCCTTCGCGGCGCATGCGCTAAGCTCACTGTCACTAAGGAAGGCCCCAGGACTTGAACTCCCTGATGTTAATGACTAAATTTCTGCCCGATCCAAGGCTGCTTTTTTCGGCTACCTCTTCCTTCATCTCCTTCCTCCAGAAGAATCAAGGTAGTATAAAGTCCGTCAAAATACTGTGCTCTTAAAGTGGTGAAAATCTGGCAGACAGAAACTTGTATAAAGTTTGTTTTACGTTGATAAGGCATGTTGTGGACAGCTAACCGTTCCACTTTATCAGACGGGAAAAGGGACATATTTTGGTCCATAGATTTACGAACAGTAAATAGGGTAGAATGGGCTTCGCGTAGCACCGTGTGTCAACTTCGTAGCAAGAAACAACTTGTAAGTTACTTTTGCAGTAAGTTAGTACAATCTAACATGTTGGCATTAAATTGAATATTAGCTCTGAGATAGGCAAGTACGATGTGTAAATCAATTTAAATAGAATGAAGGTTTTTTTTTGCAGTTTCAGATGGATTTATGAATGAGATTGTGTTAATTTATACTCCTATTTGCTTTCAGCATAAAGTAAAATTGTTCTCGGTAATTTATACAAACTGGCAACTTTAAAATGTGTGGACTTCAACTGTAGAATTCCGAGTCAGCAGAATTTTGAGAATTGAAGTTCACACATCTTAAAGCTTCCAGTTAAAAACAACATTGGTTTTCCGTATGATATACAGAGCCCTTGTGTATGTGTTTCTTCAAAAGCTTCCAGGGAAACGGAATTGCTGCATTTGAATCTAGGGACACTTATTGATTCACATTGTAATAGCTGCTTGGATTTGCACATTACATAAACTCATGATATTATTAGGCATGGTTTGTTGAATAAGTCATGTTTGGATACATTCAGGCATCACAGTTTTGAAAGTACTTACAAGACATGGCTGTAAATCTCTAGCACTCCTTTCCAGAGTAATTCTAACTACATATCTAAATAGTATTAAATGTTTATGATTTAACGTAAGATATTGTTTAAACAAAAGGCAATATGCAATATGGACAGACACAAAATTTACAGAATTTTGGGGAGTTAGGGGATTTGTTTGCTTTCTAATGATGATTGTAGTATTTAGTGATAGCATGTGTACTGTAAACTTTTAAGTTCTGGTTTACAAAACACAGTTGTGGTCTTTATGCAACAAGGGAGACACGATAGATGTGAAAATTGTCTTACAGAAAAATGGATACATTTTTTTCAAAAACAGGACAAGTAACAATTGGATAAAATTACAAAGTAAAATTTAGTTGGGCATAGGAAAAATTTCTTAACAGTGTAAGGCTGTTCAACAATGAAGGAATCTGCCTTGGGAATTTATTTATTAGATTTATTACCTGGGGCAATTAAACGTCTCTCAGATAATTCAGTTCATTAATATGTTCAAAGTATAATATTAATATTATCCTGAAGAAAATTATCTGCTTGCTAAGAGTTGACACTGACGTAATGGTACATAATCATATTAATAGCCCGTGATTAAAATTAAAAAAAAATTTAAAATTTAAAAATACACATAACAAAACACATAAATGATTACCAAAGATAATAAACAATAAATAAATATATGCAGCAATCATATTGAAATCATACATTTCAAGTGTTTTTTCCCTAAATAACTTGGTTGTGAATATTAAAAAATGCTAATAAATTTCATTCATACTTCAAGGGAAATGATAGCCCACTGGACAGCACAATAGCAGAGAAACAGCATGTGTGAGTCTTCTTCATGAAAATGGGAGACCAGTAACAGATTCTGTCAGGACATCTGTATGGTTCTAGACTGGTTGAAGAAGTCTTGAATATACCTTGGATATACCTTGGGGCCAAGATTTGTAGGGCTTATATAATATTTATTGAATCCTGTAACAATAACAATATAGTATTAAGCTCATTACATATTAACATAACTAAAATGTTTCATGGAAAACTCTACATTTTTAACAAAAATAAGACTAAGAAAATGACATTATTTTAAATTTCTACAAATATAATGTGTAGTGATGGGTGCCAGTGAAGGGCAGCTTGTATAGTGATGGTTACCCTTAGGTTTGCCCATGTAACACTTCCATTATGCAAGCTTCACTGGTTTCCAGTTTCTTTTCAAGTGCAAATTCAAGGTGCTGGTATCACCATTAAAGCTCTAAATGGCACAGGTTACCTATGGGGACTGCCTTTCCCTAAGAATATCTACCCATCCTACTAGTTTATAATAAGATGGACATACTCCTTGTCCCTTCTCTTAAATATTGCCATCTTATGGGATTTAAGAAATGTTCCTTTTCCATGGCAGCCCCTGTCTTATGGAACACTTTTCTCCTTGAGGTTCTGCAAGGTCTCTATCCTTCTGGCCTTCTGTAAAACACTGAAGACCTAGCTCCCCCCTGCTCCCCCCCAAGCGATATGATAGGATGAGGTGACTGCATATAGGAAGCTTGATTTGGCACCAGGTTTTTATGTTCAATATGTTTAGTTTTATAGTTTTAATATGATTTTTATGTTGATTTAATTTTTGACTGGGAGCCACCCAGAGTTTGTTATAAGAAGAGAAGCTATACACATGTTTTACATAAATGAATAAATCAATCTTCAATATCTGGCAAATAATTTTGGTTTCATGGACCTCTGAGAGGATCTTGAGAGACTTCCAGGACCAGACTTTAAGGAACACTGGTCTAGATAGTAGGTCTTCAGATAGACCCCATCAATTCTATCAAATGGAATTGATTTCAGGGGCCACAAATTATGGATCTTTCTTAAACAAAAGCAAATAAATCACTTTAAGTCATAGTATATTGTGTGACTCCAGCCATTGTGTAAATAAACAAAAGCTTCAAATAAATGAAAATTCAGGAAGAATCTCTTTTCTCTTTTTATATTATGGGCATTAATAGGGATCATAAGACTATCTTGCATAATGGTTAAGCAATATCTTTATTTCTTCAGGATTAATACCAGCTCAAAGCCCTTTGTCTGAATTCAGCAGACCACTGTTGCTTGAATGTCTGGCTTATAGTTCATTTGGATTTGTTTTTGTGCTACAGGTCACCATTCAAAACAAACAGGCAACCATAAGCAGTTGTTCCCATATTAATCATCTGTACAGACAAAGGGCATAGTGTCACACATAAAGTAGAATGGAACTTTAAGGAACTTTAACTCAAAGCCCAGTAAAACAGGTGATAGAATAAGGTTTCTTGTTATTGTTCTTCAGATCTAATAAAGCAAAGGTTTTCTAAATGGTATGAATGAATGGAATTTCTAAGTTTAATGCGGCTAATACAGCAAAATAAAGAATGAAGTGTTGTGAAGAATTAGTGAAGAGAGATTTTGGGACATTTTGCACCAAATTTCCCCAAACCAATGCTCTCCAGCGTTGTTGAACTTTGATTCTTAAAATTCCCAGCTAAAACACCAGATTGGAGAACAATATCTTACACTATTCAGTAAAATATAAGAAGCTAAAGCCACAGCAACTGAGAAATGTTCCCAGTATAATCTAGCTGGTGTAAAAAAAAAATTGAGTACACACAAACACTCAAGTAAATTGTATCAAAAGTGGCTAACTTGCTTTGATGAAATGATTTTGAGTGGAGGATAGCCTACCTATTGATAACTTATCTGTCAGAATATAGCTTAATATTTGAGCTACAGTATTTAGATATTGCTTAGACAAATGATCACAGCCTGCAGTCTGGCTTCCAGAAATTGCAACCAGTTGATAGTTAATGCATAAGAGTTCTGATGAATATCTATTTCATTTTAATTGCTGTTACATACAGCATGTTGCAGGCCAAATACATACACGTCTGCATTCATTCTGAAAACAGAGCTAAAACAGATCAAAATAATTTCTTTAAAAACTTTGAAAACATAATATAGCTTTATATACTGTTATCAAGGAGTAAAAAGCATTAAATTTTTGGGCCAACATATAGGATGCATTAGTAATTTTACCATAGATTTGATTATTACAAAACAGTTGACTGATTGGTACGTACAGAGAATCATAATCTATGTGTAGACAACTGCAATAGTTTTTATTGGAAGCCAGTTGAAACAATGCTTAACAGGTCAGGCTAGAAACTGGGAGACCATGAGTTCTAGTCCTACCTTAGCCACAAAATCATCTGGGTGACATTGGGCCAGTCATTCTCTTTTAGACCTGAGAAAAAGGTAATAGCAAACAACTTCTGAAAAACCTTGCCAAGTAAACTTCAGGGATTTGTCCAGGCAGTTGCTGGAGTAAAACACTGACTAGACAGCAAAAACAACAATAAAAGTCTCACTTACACCTGCACTTATCTGAAGGATTTCTTTTGGAAGGATTTTTAAAACAATCTTTGCAAAATATAAAATTTTGTCAGTAATTTACTACAGAAGGTATCCCAAAATATACATCTTTCTAAAAAGGGAGGGGAAAAAATCTAATCAAACTGAAAGTTATTGCAGCCTGAATCCCACACACTTAAAATAATTCTTTAAAAACAAAACATCAGAGTAATCCATAAACCTATATATCTAAAAATTAAGATATATATATAATTAAGAATAAGAATACTAATGATGATCCTCACTTCTATGCTATAGAGATCATCATTTGTTGATATCTGAAGGCTAGAGTAACAACTTTGGAAACATTGTATATAAAACATTGTATATTGTATATAAAATCCTTATTAGCCAAAAGCTACAATAAAATCTTTAATCAGAATTCTGGCTGAAAGAAGAAAAAAATTAGCTTGTGCTAATGTACCATGTGGCACAAGAAATACACTGCAGGAATTTGAGTATATCTGCCCTGCAAATATACAGTTGAAAGCAGTTAATATGCTTTATGCCTTTATAAATATCAAATGATTGAGGCAGTGTATAAAGAGAGAAGATTAATTCTCCTTTGAAAAACATTTGAAGATTTTCAGAAGCTAATATTAAATTATTATTGTGTGTCTAAAAGTTGCTCTTTGCTCTTCAATAACTC